GCCACAGAGAGCCAGGGCTGGGCTGGAGGTCACTCAGGGAAGCTGGAGTCAGCCCTTCACACTGTCCCCTCCTCGGCCTGGGAAATGGAGGCACTCAGTGGACAGTAGGGACAAAACCCAACGCTCTCTGGCCCACGCACGTTCTGCCCTGGCCAGGCCCACCCTCACCCTGCTGGGCTAGCGGCACTGAGCCGGCGCCTCCCCGGGGGGGCCCAGGCCCCTCCTGACGCATCCCCGTCCTTCACCCTCCAGCTAGTGGCCACAGGGACCAGCGAAAATTCCTATCTACCCTGGAAGCCCCTGTACCACCCCGCCCCGTATCAGAGCACTCAGATCTCGAGCTGGGCCACGTGCCCCATTAGCTCTGTTAGCACCTCTGCTCCCCTTCTTAGACGGTCCCAGATGGGTCTGTCTGCCCCCGTGGGAGTTGGGTGAGGTCAACTCACCTGCATGCCAGGCCACGGAGCAAGAAAGTGAAGCTTGAGGGGATGGGGCCGCGGGGCTCTGTGCATGGCAGGAGCCCTGGGCTGAACCTGGGCAGCCCCCCAGGCCCCACACCCCTAACACACAGCCAGGGGGTTGGTTGGCTGTCCTGAGGAGCTGATGTGGCTTCACACAGGCCCCAAGTGACCGCACAGTCCTGGGCCATGGCCTCAGCAGCCACGGGGAGCACCACGCTGAAGACCCGGCTTCTCCCTTGTTCCCCCGCACCGTGCCTGCTCCTCGTACCCGCAGCCGCCCAGCCCAGGCCCCTCTGTGCCAGCCTCGATCCCCCGACAGGCGGGGTTGGCCCGGGAGCCTCCAGCAGGGCCTGGATCAGTGCCACACCCCAGCCAGAAGGACGCCCGATAAGCAGTGACCTCTCCCACCCTTGGCCCTCTGAGGCCACAGGAAGCGGCACTGCAGGGACCAGGCTGTCTGCGAGGTGGTGAGATAGCCCGAAGCCCCACAGCCTCCTGGGGGCCAGGCACGGAAGGCTATGGGCCGCGTGCTCTGAGGACGAGCGAGGCGTGCAGTGCAGCAGGGCGGGTCCATGGCTGCCTCCTTCCCTCCGTTTCCAGTTGGACAGCCCCAAATGCCGATGTTTGGGCCATTGTTCTCAGCACCCCGGGGTAGGTGGGCATTCCAGGTGTGGGGTGTGTTTCTCCTGGGCAGAGCCCAGCACCCAACGTGGGTCACGTCCTGTCCTACAGAAGGACACACCGAGGCTCGGAAGCGCGAGGACGTGTGTGAGGTTGCTGTCCCAGCTTCCTGTGGCCGATCTAATAAATGACCATACCCTGGAGGCTTGACAACAGCAGAAACGTGTTCCCCCCAGTTCTGGAGCCAGAAGTCTGAAGTCAGGGTCTGCGGGCCCCACGGTCCTGTCCCTTCCAGCTTCTGGGGGCCGCAGCCTCTGCCCCCAACTCCACACGGTTCCCCCCTTCTGCCTCCTATGGGACATGCATCCCGGGGCTTAGGGCCCGTCTGCGTCATCGGGATGAACTCATCCGCAGATCCTTTATTCAATTACACTGCGAAGACTTTTTCCAAACAAGTTTGCAGGTTCCAGGCGGACGTTTCTCTTGGGGGTCACTCTTGAGTCACTGCGGTCAGGGAGCAAGTTCGGCTGAGGGCAGCTTCTCCATCAAAGACCCTGCCTGGGGCAGCGCAGCGGCCTTGGGCTCACTGGGCTCAGGCCTCTACGGAAGGACGAGCTGACTCTGGGGCCCGCCTCCTGGCCTTGGGGCCACCTGCGCCACAGACCTCTAACCCAGCCTCCCGGGCAGGGCTGCATGAACTTGGCTCTCCTGCTGCTTCTCGCACTTACCACCTCCCACACACCCCACTTCTGGGGTGGGCTGGTCCCCACATAGCTTTCAGAACATCTCACCACCTTATGAACCGATGGCGGGCTCCCCAAGTGCCGCCTCCCGTGTCCTCAGCCCAGGGGTCAGGGCCCAATGGGTCGAGGGTGGGGAGGCCACCCTCTATCTGGCTTTCTTCTGGCTGGGGTGTGGCACTGATCCAGGCCCAGCTTTGGAGGCTCCTGGGCCAACCCCACCTCTGAGGGGATGGGGGGCCCACTGAGGCTGCCACGGAGGCGCCCAAGCTGAGGCGGTGGGGGTGGGGTGAGCTGGGTCATGGAGGAGAGTGAGTGGGGAGGGACAGGGGAGCGGAGGGAAGGGGTCCCCCACCCTGTGGCCCTCGCCCTCTGCCCCCAGCTCTCTGGTGTGGACGATGGGGCCCCGCCCCGACCCCGTGCCATCCCAGCCCGCACCTCCCACGCAGCCAGGGCTCCCTGCCGCCGTGCCTCTCCTCACATTAATCTCTGCGAGGCTCACTGCTGACCCAAGCAAAACGGAGTTTGCCTTTCCCCCCTCTCGGCAGTTTTCTGTTGGCAAAGCAAAAAGGATCACAGCGCGCACTCACCCCCGATCTCCCTGCCTGGGGGGACCACTCTGGGAAATGAGATGTCCCTGCGTGGGCACACGGGGCCGTCCGCGCCCACATGCCCTGCTCTGGGTGCCCGGGAGAGAGGCGGGGTGCTGATCCCCCCTGGGGCACACATGTGGGACACTCCCACCAGGTCCCTGAATCTTCCCAGGTATTCATGGAACTTGTAGAAGAGACGGCGTGGTCCCTGCCCGTGGCCTGTCTGTGACACAGACGTAGGTGACGTGGTTGAGCCAGAAAGCGGGGCTAGAGCCCATACCATGAGGTGTGGCCATAGCTGAGGAAGGCCGAGAAGGTTCCAGCAGGACCGAGAAGGCCAGAGAGCACAGGCAGGGGCATGCGTGGGGCGGGTGGGCTCCCCACACACCGCGGAGCAGAGCGGATGGCCGGGCAGGCACACCTATGGGCGTGCGGTCAGCCGCTCCGTCTGAGAAAGGCCTTGGTTAAGGCGGGCTCTCCTGCGCGTGACCCCGCCGCCAGCAGCCCCGGACGGCCCCAGGGCCTCGTGTGTTGCTGCTGAGCTGCCACGTTCTCAGGCAGGCTTGCCGAGAGCTCACCCTCCGTGTCCCTGCCAAAGCCACCCGGGTGGGGTGCAGGCCAGGACTGACCACGGGGGCAGAGCTGTGGGTTCTGCTCGGTCCTTGACCTCATTCCCAAGGGCTCCTAGAGCTGGCCTGGGGTTCCACTTGCTTCTGGCTCAGCTGCCTGGGTGGCCTGGGGAAATACTGGCGGGGGGGACAGGGTGGTCGGTTCCTGCCTGCCGAGGTGTTGGGTGGATGCAGAGTGACACCCCTTCTCAGAGTGCAGAAAGACACTGGCAGGCTTCTCACGTGGCCGGGATGTGCGGGCTGAGCCTCCTAGCTGGCCCTGCATCGCTCACCACGCACTTCCCTCTCTGGAAAAGGGGTTTGTCGCAGCCGGGGCCGGGGCCGGGAGAGGTGAGACTCCACTTGATGTCCGTCCCTGCCCAGCCTGGGGTGAAGGGTGGGCCCAGCAGTGCCTCCTGCAGCCCAGAGCTTGACCCTAGGAGCACCCAACCCAGGGCGCAGCACCTTGGCAGCGGGGCCTCAGAGACCCCACTGGGGAGCTCTAAGTGCAGGCTGCCCTGACCCCTCTTCGGGAGAGGGAGCCTGGTCCCAGCCCCAGCGGCCCCAGCTGTGAGGAGCCCCAGGCACAGGGGCTGGAGGCCGAGGGCGGGCACCATGGGCTGTGGCCCGGGGCCGTGGGGTCTCTGCCAAGGGTCCCCTCCCCACCAGCCGGGCGCAAGAGATGGGCGGCAGCTTCTGACCCCAGCCCACATGTCCCTCTTGGGTCCAGACTGGCCGCCAGAGGTACGGGAGTCGCAGCTCCCTCCTGGACGAGACCTGCCAGCCCCGTCATCCCTGATTAGCAGGTAATGGCCTCCGAGACGCACAGCTTTATTAATCGAGTTAGTAAGTGTTGAGGTGACCTTGACTGGTTCTGCTGAGGGGCGGTCTCCCAGGAGGGGCAGGCGGGTCGGAAGGGACGCATCTGGCCGCCCTCGGCCCAGGCTCGGGCAGGCGGGGAGCCCTGCCCTCCTCCAGAAGGCTGCCCTCCCCGGCGCCCGGGGCTCCGCGCCACCCCTGCTCAGCCCACCCTGCGGTGAACACCGCGGCGGGACGGCGGGGACCAGCACAGCACTGCTCCCGCAGAGGGGACGGGGCGAGTGTGCAAGGAGAGGCGGGGCCCCGGCTCGCGGCTGGGCTTCCGCGCCCTCCCTCGCCTGCGGCCGACCCGCCCCCCGCCCCCAAATGC